GAGGGGGCGGCCCCGCGCCGCGGAGCGGAGCTGCAGCGAGCGCCGAGCCCCGCGCGCGGTGTTGGGTTTCAGCTCCGCTGCCGCGCGATTACATCAGCGCGCGGCCCCCGCGGGGGCGGGACGGGACGGGCTGGCCGCGCAGCCCCCGGCCCGAGCCGAGCTTGCGGGGATCCCCAGCCGCCCCCCGGCTATAGCGCGGCACGGGGCGCACAGGTGGCTGCGCTGGGCGCGGGCGATACGCGGCCGCAGAGCACAACACCTTGGGACAAAAGGTGCGGTGGAGGAGAGGGGGAAAAGGGGTGAAACGGTGCTAGAGGAAAGAGGCGAGTGTGCTGGAGGCTTCAGCATCTCCAGTGTAATTGGGGAAGGGGCCAGGAATCCTCCTGCTGGAAAAAATAATTGAAGAGCAAATGTAATTTGGTAGAATTAGAAACACCAAAGGAAATAKGAGACTCTCCACTGCCTTCTTCCTCAAAAGTCACAGTCTTCTTACATTCCAGCTTTGTCCCCAGAGCAGAGTCTACTACAGCTTTATCCCAGAAAGTGTCTTGAAGCAAACTCTCTTTCAAGACACACAAGGTAGAGGTAGGCAGGTTCACACTCTTGTGAAGGACAAGCCCACGGCCGCATCCCGGAGCTGCTCTTAAAGCRAAGTTTCCATCGGCTTCAGCAGGAATTGCTGCGAGCAAGGGCTGGGAAGACTCCCACAGGAGTGCCTCTTCACCTTGTGCAGACTCGAGGGAAAAGCTGAAAACGTTTTGTCTTTCTGCCTGAGCTCTAGTAGAGCCAAAAGAGGTGGCAGCAAAACATGAAGATGAAGCTGTTCACCCAGAAGAGCATTGTGGCTGCCCAGTGAGGTACTGAACAGGGCTGCAGCAAAGCCTTTGTCAACATTGCTGCTTTAACCACACTGGAATGACTTTCAAGAGCTACAATGTGATATTTTAACTGTTTTATTAGCATTARGATGAAATCTGTGTTTTAGGGGTGTATGTAACTGGGCTCATAGCATGGGCCCTACCACTTGAAMAAGATGTCACATATGCAGCAGGCACATAGGTCACTGCTTAGACCTTCAGCATCAGCAGTAGGAACTTTATGGAGAACTGTGCGTCAAGGCTTTGCCTTGAGTAATCCTGCCCTTGGTTCCAGGGCTGAGACACAAGCACGAGCCATTACAGGGAAYACAGCACAGGTCACCATGGCACTAAGTGCCCGCATTGCCCTTTCCACTGGCACCGCCACCAACRCTAGCAGCACCTCAGCTGCTCACATGTAGGGCACAGATAGAGGTTGCTGGCTGTGATCTTGCACTGACTTTAAACAGCCCAGACTTTAAAACTGACATTGGTTGCTCACTTTCCTGTGTTCATATTTGTGCAAATGTAGGTTCACACAAGGTGGTAGGTTAGCCCTGTTTGCTGCTGTGCCCTTTAGGTCCTTGTCCAAAGCTCATGGCAGGGCTTGGAAGCCTATCTGCAGGGCTTTGGGCAGGTGAAGCAAGTAAATTAAGAGGCACAAGGAAATCAAGTTACTTTCCTAATGTTTTATAGAAAACATCTGGTACTGCTGAAAAAAATGCCAACCTGTAGTCCATCACCTCATGTTTCTGATCCACTCCAAGCTCTGCCAAAAAATCACCATCAGTCTTATTTTAACACTTGTTTCTTCCAAGCCTTCTGAMACACTCTAACAGGCAAAGCCTACAGTATTAAAAGCTATCAGATTACATGTGTTTATTTCTAAGCTATATATAGCAGTCTGTATACTTAGGCACACCAAAAGACAGTCAAGCTCCAAATGTGTCAGAAACTCACTGCGACACAGCAGTGCTGGACTTGCATTTCCTCTGCTAAATGTCCCCAGATCCACTTTTTCCACATCGCTCTTGCCTGACTAGTCTATCATCGCTCTTTCATCTCTCCAAACTCAGGAATTACTAAAACCTAATTTTAGATCTTTCAAGATAYCACTTCTTCACTTTCCAACATGGTTGCAAGCTCTTCTTGTGCCGATTTTCTCATTTTTGAGCAGCTTTTTGCTCCTTTCATGAACCAGCTTGCTCACCTGTCACTCCCGATTAGCCCTGCTGCGTTCCAGCCATGCTCTGAGGCACAGAACAGGAGCTAAAGGGTGCAAGAGGTGAGGAACATTGTTACCATCTAAAATATTTTCTTTTAATAATAAAAAACCCAGAGAGGAATGACTACTATATTTCAAGAGCCTTTAATTCTTGAATAAAGAAAAAAAAAATGAATGGCAATTTAAAAGATAAAAGCACACAGAGTGTGATTTTAGGGACTCAGTGTTGCAGTGCATGTTATCCCATAGGAAACAGGATCTTTACCTTGGATTTCAGTAGGAACAGAATGGGACCTGTACAAGTTTCCTGGTATAGTCCCAGAATTAGGAGTTTTGGCAGAAGATCCACACTGCTCTTGAGTTCCCATTGGAGACTGACTTCCCCTGCACACCACAATATATGGTGTTAGGCTATGTACCAAAACTGATGGAACTTTGTACAGCAAAATATTTATTTAGGATCCTCTCTGTGRCAGCCAAAAATGTTCAACACACTGCTCTGGTTAAAGGCAGAGTTACCAAGCTATCAAATGTGATTGAAGAAATATAAGAAATGGAAAGGATTACGGCATGTCTTTGAGAACAACTGGCTAGAATCAAAGGAGCACTCCAGGCCTGAAACCGTTGGACGTGCCTCGTCTTTGTAACACAARGGAGAAATTGTACAGAGGTGGGTATGGCAAGGGGAAGGCCTGAGGGTTTGGAGGACCAGGCTTCACAGAAGCTGAGGCACAGAGTCAAAAAGACAAACTCCAAGCCACAAGGAACTGCACAGACGAGTGAGATTCCTCAAAGTGCCCAGTCAAAGCAAACGGGGGAAGCACATCCAGCCAGGAATAAGAAAGCAGGAGAGAGCCTGAGACAACAAGGCACGCGTTAAGGGCTGGCCACGAGGCTCCTGCGCCTCAGGGTGAGGAAGCTGCCCTGAGGTTCCTACCAAGGTGCACCCAGCTGTTTCATGAAGTCACCCTTGCAGCAGGGATCCCTCTGAGCACAGTTAAGAGCCCTCACACAGGAGGCTGAGACGGGCCGGCAGAGCGAGCCATGGGGAGGAAGCTGCCCCACAGCGCGAGCGTCGTGTGCAGCCCATCATACCGCACATGGAATGCGCCACACAACGCCAAACACACAGGGAATTACTCAAGGAAGGGAGAAGCCAAGCAGTGGTTGCTCGGGAAACGAGAAGTGAGTGGAAAACAGGAGTGCGGCATGGGAGCCCTGGTACATCTCCCCCCAAGGCGGCTCCGGGTCCCCTGCAGGCCCAGCTCCAGGAGAGCAGCTCCATACGTTCCCACCACCGTGTGGGGCCCCAAGAGCTGGCACTGAAAGGAAAAGCAGGACAGGAGCTAGGGAAAGTCCAGTGATTTTCACTTTTAGTTAATTACTATCCCACAGCCTGTATCTTGCAAGGCAGGCCGGAAGGAGACACCCACTCTTAGAAGCAGCAGGACGTGTTGGACATTGGATATTTTCTGGGATATTCATTGAACTGGAAGTCCCCTTCTAGGTGAAGTTTGCAAGCACAGCTGGGAATTTGCATTCCCAAGACCCGTTAGCAGCCTCACAAACCTGCCCCAGGACGGGAGGGCTCAGCCACCTCGGCTCACAGGGGGACTCTGCCCCRCTTCGAAACTCAGACCACCACCACTGTGAACACCCATCAACTCCAGCTCTGAGATGAAACTCAATCACAAATAATTTGACCAACTCCATAGAGTCATCTCACGCATTCACACAAATAGTTGACTCTGATCTGACCCACAAAGATTTCTGCATTTCACTGTTCTGACTTTTAAACATTCACTCTATTTTTGCATGAGCAGGTCATCAGACTTCTCCAGGACACTCTAGCTCCCAATACAGAAAAGTATGGGGCTCATTATATTTTATTTTCTTAGAGTCTCTAGGTGAATAGAGAAAGTCAAAAGTAGTTTTAAGCAGGAAAAAATTATTTTTGTACTTCATCTCCAAATTAAGATACTAGATACTTCATCTCCAAATTAAGAATTCTAGATCAGACATGCATAAGGGAAAGCAGACCTCAAGTACTTTTTTCTTGAAACTACAAGACAGCTGAACATGTAGAATCACAGACCAAAATACATTGGCACTAACTTTAATGCTGATATTTTTACGGTAGTATAATTATTTTTTGTAAATCCCTTACAACCGTACCATTGGTATAGCATGGTGTTTAATAGGCTATTTTCATCATCTGATTTTCAGAGATGGATGATCTGACCCTGTTCTTTCACCAGGTTCAGAAGAATGTCAGAGCAACCCTTTCCCACTCCATATCACAACACTTAATGCGACTCCTCATTAAGTCGGGGTAGGGACTGTTCTTGGTAAGAAAACAGAATAAAATTAAAAGCAAACAGAATCCCCCTCTAAACGCTTATAATAAAGCCTAGAGAAAACTAGATGTACGTCTGAAAGACAAGCAATTTTCTTTCTKCTTGGGTCAATCATAACTTCATTAAGCCAGACCTGTCTGGATTATTCTTTTCAGAGGGAAACATTAAATCCACATGGCYATTTAATCACCTAGCATTAGCTTAGACAACCACAACAGTTGARCAAGAGATGATATGAGCAATCCTGTACCACATTGACCCCAAGCACAAGAGTTTGCATTAAGTGGATATCATTAAGCTTGAGAAATCAAGAGCTTCTACGTGTCAGCACTAAGTGTCCTATGCAGCCCTGCAAGTGCCCACTGGAGCCTTTATATGGTTGTGTGTTATTTATCTCACAGGCCTCCAGCTGGTGCTCAGGTCATGCTAGAGATGAATCTGGGTTCAACTAATTCCTTCCCTTAAACTCAAGGAGRCTTTTGTTCAGTCCAAGAGCGAGGAAGAAGGAATCAGACCCTTCTGCTGCAGCCCTTGGAGCTGCTCAGGAAGCAGCACCCATTGAGCTGTCACCACCAGAAGAGCCCCAGCCGCCCAGCAAGGCAGCACAGGCTGCTTCTTAGCCCAGAGGTATCAGCACAGACCAGAACTGAGGCCTTCCCAAAACCAACAAGAAAAAGGTTAAAAATCTATAGTTTGTTCTGTTTTTATTTTATAGCTTGGGGATCACTTAGTATATGTSATATTAGAATATACTTGCAACAAAATTACATTTGTGGTTATCATACGCTTAGCTTTAAACTGATTACCTAAGACATGCAAGCTAACTACTCTTTTCTGAAGTGCCATATTCTTAATAAGTTGCAATGACACAAAATTACATACATCAGTGTAATGGCATTGCTATTTGCCTGTTGAAAAAAYATAGTTTTTAAAGATTTTTCAAAAAATTACTAGTTTATTCCTTGACAAGGAACCGCAAGGATAATTTCTCTTATGTTAGGAGATATTTTAATAGTTTAAATGCACACTGAGAAGTCCAATGAACATCTCTAGATGCTTTCAGAATATTTTACTCTTGCAGTGACATGATTCCTTACCACAAAATCATTTCCCTAAGTTTGGTGCTCATTACAACTTAGATTCCCTCCCCCCCGCAACCTTTTTCCTTTGTTTTGCAGTTCACTGGGGTAGCTGGGGCAACATGAAGTTGATTATAACCAGACTTCCTGTTAAAATTTGGGAGATCACTTGGAATATTCCCAGGGTGCTAGAACACCACATTTGTCAAATACCAAAGCATACTCCAGAGGAAGCTGGTAATCAAAAGGTGTTAAATTTTCCAGGATGAAAGCCTTTCTTCAAATCTATCCAGATATTTCCTTGACACATTTTTCTATGAGCAGAACTCTCATTTTTGCCAATATGACCTCTGCCAGGTGGAGTTTACCTTAGAAAAATCCCAGGAACTGTCAAATGAAGCTGTGGGTTTTATGGAGGAGCTCTGAATTTCTGAATGCACCAAACTGCCAGCAGCTCCTCTTGCCTTTCCACAACTCCATTTTCCACACTTTGGAGTCTGGAATAGATGCAAGCATAGATGTATCACACAGCTCATACCAACATCCCCCTTGTCCCAGCTGCAGAATGGGGACACGGACAAGCCAGTACATCCATGGCAGCCATCAGAGGCACGATGGGCTCTGAAGCTGCTCCACAGGTAGACTCCTGCAGAGGGAAACCAAGCCACCACAACAGAGCTTGCAGTATTTCTGAARGGGGCTGGCAGGGCATGACTGCCAGCAGCAGCACCGAGCGCAGGGGCACAGCWCCAAGCCTGAGCATTCACCAATGTGCAGCTCCTCATAGCACCAGAGCTGCTTGCTCTGTGCCATGGAACTTAGGCACTGCAGACACCTATACGGCAGTCCTTAGTTACTTGTGTTTAAAGAAGAAGACTTCTTCAGGTGTTCATTTCTCAGTTGCTTCATTTAAATTGTGCAAGAGGTCTGTGAACAAGCCAGAGCTSTTGCGGCTTGTGCTCCAGAGCTCAGCAATAGGAAAGCTGCCATTGACAGCAGAAATCCAAGGGCAAACTTGAATCCCAAAGGTCCAAATTTAGTTAAGGGTGGCTGGATGGGCATGGAAACCAGATTATACCTTCAGGATTGGTGTTAGTCCCTCCTGAGCAGCTACAAGGCAGCATGGCAGGAGGGTGCCAGGAAACCCATTGCCTCCTCACCCTGGCTACAGAGAACTTTGCTCCTCCTGGTGCTCAGCAGAGCCAGCTCAGGGCCTGCAGCCAGAGAAAATACACRATTTGTGAAGTTCACAGATTATTATTTTTGCCTTTTAAAATAAAAAAAAATCACATAGTTAACAAAAAAGCCCTGATTGCATATAGCAGCAAGTAACACATTATTCCAAATTCACAAGTAATTTAGAGTTGACATRTTTGCTAACAATGACAATTGCTTCCTTGTTGGTATTACGTGATTTATTTTCCATTCTTTCTCTCTTCAGCTGCTTCAGTCATTTGACAATMTTCCCTAAAGAGACCAAGGAAAATGATACCGCAAAGTATTTGAAGAATGGAGTGTTTACAAAGCACATAAATAGGCTGTACTGCATCCAGAGTCACTAGTTGTAAGCACAACAATAAAAAGTGTRGAGAACTTGCACCAAACATACCAGATGACTGAAATTTCATGGGTTAGGGGTGAGGATATGTATGTACATATGATAAATGCCACTTCATAATCTGAAAACAAATTTGAACAACAGAAATACCTTAAAAACCTTGGGATTCCTCTGCATTTCTCTACCACTGCAAACATTACTAATTCTCAGAAGAATTACTCAAGAGAAGAGCAAGCCCTGGAAATGAATCTCATTTCTCTTATGGCAGCAGCTACTTGGCAGTGAAAAACCCTGCACTATTATAAATACACTATTTTCTCCGTTTAGTTCAGTTATATCTGTGTCCCAAGAGTTCGAGGTATCCCATTCTTCAG